TGGATTAACAATTTGGATTAACATCACTCTTCGAGTTCGGCTGGTTACTTATCCAAGTCTCTACTAGCAAGGAATATTTGGTTTTCTTGCTAAAAGTGGTCATCTCATTAGCTTCTCGGTGAAGTGAGGTGTTACTAGATTACTCAATGTTCGACACATTGAAAGCAGAACCTTTCTATGATTAGTTATTCCTAAGTGCATTCAAAGTTTGGCATTTTGATGATCGACAACATTTACCATCAAGAAACTTATTTCTTTAGAGTATTTATGTCTTACAGTTTGAAATCGATTCGGCGCACCTATATTCTCACGAATATAGTTGAGACAATCAAACTTGGTGTAGGAGATCTTGAACTTTGAAGTGATTTAAGCAACCTAGCCTTCAGGTTTTAGAACCCAATGCCAAGACGTGTTCCTTTTCTCAGCTGAGGTCGCTCGAGTACAGAAGTCAGCAACGCGTTCAACACCACCACCAAATCTATTTTACATACTCGCCGACCGAGCTCATTTGCGAGTTGGCACGCCCCCAATCACTAGAAGAACACAATTAACTTATTAATTACTCGGTTTGCACACAACGCATGCATGATAGGTTTTAGTGTTAACAACGTGACAATGCATAATTAGCTTGTGATATCATGACACTGACATCGCAACTGTAATGAGGTTCTGTTGGGTTTTTGGATCAAAAGTAGGATGATGCAATAAATTAGGTTTGTGTTACCTATTTGGTTTTGGTGTCCTATTTGAGTTTGGTTTTGACTTCTTAGTTAGTTTCCTTGGTGGAGAGATTTTGTTAATTACCTATTTGATTAGGATTTGGATTTATTTCCTATTAGGATTCCTATTGTAACCTAAGTCTTATGCACTATAAATAGTGTATTTAGTGTGGCTCATTCGTGTGACAATTTGGTGAGAGTCAATTTGTGAGTTAGAGCGCAATTTGGGAGAATCTTCTCCGTTAGGTTTGGGTTCTCTACTCGTTTGATTTAGGGTTTGTAATTTGTGGGATTTGGGTTGTGAGAGTTTAAACACTCTTTTGTAATCTCCGTTTGTTTAGTGAAATTCCTCGCCGTGCTTCACCCGTGGAGTAGACTTTACGCCAAACCACGTAAATCTCTTGTGTCAGTTTGAGATTGTTTGTTTTAGCTTTCACCTACAACGTTGATATTTGGTACTTTGTTATAATTCGCTTCCGTTTGTGCATAAAAGTACAACAGGTTCTTCCCTACAAATTCGATATCTGCTAGCTAGTAGTCTAGTGAAAGATTAGTGTTAAAGTGTCCTAGATTAATTAAAGTATCAACCGTTCGACATTTTAGCTTCACTAAAAATATGTCGAACCTGATACATCTTGAAGTCTCCCAACTTTCATTAGGAGGAAGGTCAGTCACCAAACCTCGAACTCATAGACTCTTTAACTTCTTAAAATGTAAAATCATTAGTAGTTGAGATTCTAAGTTTGAATCTCCATATAATTAACCTCTCACTCAATTTATGGGCCGAACCACACCTCAAAATTTTTTGAGAAGTAATGAATATGATATGTGCCCAAACCAATCCCATATCAACCAATAGAATTCGGCCCATGAATTAGTTGGTATGGTTTCAAAATTTAATTTTGAGTATTACTATATTTGCCACGTTTTATTTCACGAAAGAGATATGATCTATCAATACAAGTATATATGAGATAAGACGTACTTGTATTATTGTTTGGATCCAAAATTACGTTATCGGTCCATGCAATCAAGATCGTTGAGTAGGCATAGCTTCCAACCGTCGGATGAAAAGGCAGAGATAATTTTGTTATTAAAGGATAATATTATGATTTTTATCAGAATTATCTTTTAATGATTTATCTTCTTATGAAAGAGGGAAAATCTATCCCTAAGCTAGAAACAGGCGGCACAATTCAAAGTGATTTGGATGTTTGGCATGTGGATGTGGTTTGGATTGGTTTTGGTCGACATATATGCATGCATGTGATAAGGGTGAAGTAAAAATAGGTGATATGCTTTGAAAATGAGTCTACACATGTTGGTGATAAGATGGCAACAACTGCCTTGCTGACAATTAATAATGGGTATTTTATGCTAAATCATTTAGCATATTGGTATATGCTTTTGTATTGTGGGCCAGCATATGTTTTCTTTATGGAGCCAAATTCATTCAACATGGATATTTGGAACAATAAGAAGTTTAAGTAGGCGTAGGCTTTTGAGAGTTGAGTTTCAGTTGGTTTCTGCGAAATCATCAAGGCCACGCCAAGCGGGATCATGCATATTTGAAAGAGAATATTCCTATTATTTTGCAACTTACGACGGCAATCTTAGGGCTACTGGTGAATTATAAATACAGAGGCAGTTGCATCATTATTTAGGCCCCTCCAATTCAACACACAAATTGCCTTGCGCAAACTCTCGCTCTACGCGAAACCTCTCAACAACCTTGATATTTTTATTTTCTTTTTCGCCAACACATCTTTAGTTTGGATAAACAGCACTGTGAAGGCAATCGGCGAACACCTTCAGTTTGGATAAACAACACTGTTGCGGTAGAATCAGCCGACCGCGAAGCACCTTCAATTTGGATAAACAGCACTGCGACAAGGCTAACTAGTTATCTATCCGAGTCTCGGTCAAGAAGGATTTTCAAATCCTTATTGACAGAGGTTATCTCATCAGCCTTCTCGGTGAAGTGAGATGTTACCAGGTTACTACATTCGTCATCCTAAGAGCCGAATTTGATATTGAACTTCGCAGAACTAGCAGCCTTGTCTTCAAGCTCTAGAACCCGAAGGTCGAGATGTGTTCCTTCCTCGACCGCAGTCGCGAGATTCATAAGTTAGCAGCGCGCCCAACGCAACATCAACAAATTTTACTTACCAGCCGAGCTTGGCCGACAAGTTGGCACACCCCGCACACAAACGAAGGACGTAGTTAGCTTATTAATTACTCGGTCTGCGCGCTACGTAGGCTTGATAGTTTTTAGGGTCAACAATTATATAATTTACTAATGTGGTATACAAAATGTGATATATAAAACGTTTTTGTTATTCTTTTGAGGCGTGTGTGACACACGAAGATCTTGATTGGTGTTCGTTGTAACTAATCAAGATTGAAGACGTAGGCTTCAACAGCAACAGACGGTCAGAGGTCACGCAATCCATGCAACAATTGGCAATATGCATATCCGAAAAGACAAGGCCAAAGCCAAAGACAAAGCCAAAACTGTCGAATGCAGCAAATATTGATCGATCGTGAGGACTCCAGAAGAACGCCACTTTGACTCGTGCATGCGCACTTGCACACCACTTTTCCCTTTCTGGTTGGCCATACTAAACTAAAACTGATCGCTTCTTTCATTCATCAAAGTTTTATATTAATCCTAATCTTCCTTTAATACGTTTACTAATGTAATAAATCTTTCATTAAACTAAAGTTATTACTTTTCGTATTAATTAAGGGTAATGCTACACTTACCATATTTTTTATACCATATTTGTATCACCTCTTCAATATAGGAATGGTTCGCTAACATATATGAATCTCATATCTCTTAAAGAAATGGTACAAATGTGATATGGAAAATATAACATTTTTTATTAATCAAGTATAATACATAGTTTTGTTGCTCGGGCGACTGAGTGGTAGGTTCATTTCACAATTCCTTTCATGATAATCTTCCTTCTCAATTTTCCATTTGAATGCATGAAAATAAGGACATGTTGCATGCACTAGTATTTGTTGAACAACAGATTTACATTATTTTATACATGTCAATTTAATTTAGAATTCAAGCCGTTATATATTTGACTCCCTCCTTAATCATGATAGATTAGCACATTTGGGTCTTAGTCATCATTTTTCTTTCTATAAAATGTATATTTTTTAGGGAGACTTTGGATTCAGTCCTTAGTTATGAATATTCTTTGATTGAAACCTTGTTGGTTTTTAATTTTTGATCGAGGTCCCTGAAATTAAAGTGATAATTTATTTCTATGTACGTTACTATAATTTTTTAAATTAAAAATTAAAAATTTTAGTTGTTTATATAAATGAGATTTTAAATAAAAAAACCATAATTTGTGGGATTAAAAATATTAAAATAATATATATATATATATATATATATATTTAAACATGGGTACATTTATCAAAATTAACCAAAAAAATTATTGTATCAAAACATGGGTACATTCTTCAAAATCACAAAAAAAAGAAGAAGATATTAGGCTTAATAACATTAGTAAAAATTAAACTTGACATGAATACATTTTAAAATCAAAGAAAAAAGAATGTACCCATATAAGTTTAAAAATGGATTAGAAAAAAATTGAATAGATTTTATATAAAAAAAAAGGTACTTTTTTACATATAACATATTGGTATATTTAAGAATGAGTACATCTTAAGATTAAAAAGGTTTACATGAATGGGTACATATTATTAGCATGGATACATTTAGCAAAATAAAAAGTACAAATACAAAAAAATATATGGGTACAAATACAAATAAACTTTAAAAAATATGGGCACAAAAAGAAATTAATATATGGGTACAAATTAAAACTGAAAAGAAAATTGGTACAAGTTAAAAAAGAAATACAAATTAAAAATGGGTACAAATTAAAACTAAAAATATATGATAAAAAATTTAGTCATAAATATAAATATACTAATTGTAACATTTTTAACATTAAATGAATATATTTAGGAAAAAAAATATTATTGAAATAATTAATGATGTTATTAATACCCAAGGGGACCTTGATCAAAATTTGAAAATGATTAGGATTTTAATCAATGGAGTAGTAAAAGGAAGGATGAGAACCTAATTTTTTTTTTTTTAAATTATTGGAATACATTTCTTGTTAAATTTCTTGTTTAGCCGTTTAGATTGTTAACAGTTTTTGGCTTTGTTCACAACATTAGTTACAATTTACCCTTTTAAAAAGACTAGTTGACCTTAGGAAACAAATACGATTGTAGCGAATACATCTCCTTCCTTTTTGTTGGTTGGAAACTTGGAAAATAGGAGGAAGAAGACACCAAGATAGAAGAGAACTGACGGAGGTTTTTAGAGAGAGAACCAGATAGAGAGAAAGTACAGGAAACTGATCAAGCACAGATAATATAACATGAAGAACAACACTCCGACTTTCAAATACTTGCTCCTCTCTCTCCTCCTCACTCTTCCTATTCTCCTTCTCGTCCTCCGTCTCCAACCCCACAACCTCTACTGGACCACCGCCGCCGCCACACACGATATCACCCTCCCGGCTATACAAGCCGAATCCCAACAAGAAACAGAAACCAACAACACATCTACCAAAGACATCCGAATCCGACCAGGCTACACCTCCTACGAAGCATACCTCGAGCGGCAGGTCAACAAAACCAACAACCCTAGGCTCCGCCAGTTATGGACTACCCGCGACTGGGACCGCAAAATCCAAGTCTTCTCTCAAGTCTTCCAACAAATGAAGCTCCAGAACCTCCTCACCGACGACTCCAAGGCCCTATGCATCGGGGCCAGAGTCGGCCAGGAGGTTGAGGCCTTAAAGCGAGTCGGGGTGTCCGACTCGATTGGCATCGACCTTGTACCCTTCCCTCCGCTCGTGGTCAAGGGAGACTTCCACAACCAGCCGTTCGGCAAAGACATCTTCGACTTCGAGTTCTCGAACGTATTCGACCACGCGCTGTACCCGCGGAAGTTCGTTGCGGAGATCGAACGGACGTTGAGGCCCGGCGGGGTCTGCGTTTTACACGTGGCGATCGCGCGGCGGACAGATAAGTACTCAGCGAATGATCTGTATAGTGTGAAGCCGTTGGTGGCGATGTTTCGGAGAAGCGAGTTGGTTCATGTCAAGGAGGTTGACGGTTTTGGGGCCAACACGGAGGTGGTTTTTCGGAAACGGCAAAACGGTAGCCCATCCAACGGCCCTGATTGATTGATTGAACCCCAATTGTCACTCTCTGCAAATACGTGCAACATATTTTCTTGTTTAATGGGAAAAAATTATTCAAATCATGTAATTATTTGTGTATATGCATGCTTCCTTGAGTAATGATTTCCATCTAATCTCTATTTAGACAAACATAATCTTTCTTCACGTTCCCAGTTTATCATTTTATCTCGTTTTATACGATAAATTGAGAATGTGAATATAAATAGTTTCATTCTATCTTTTTCCGACGGTTTTTGTTTAGTTATATATACTTTTTGGGATATATGATTGTTTCTTCTTCTCTCCACACCTTATTTATTTTGTTGAAAAATTAGTTATTTATTTTGTTATTTTGTTGGAAAATTGGTTATTTATTTTATCCATTTGAATTCGGGTTTCTATAAATATAGCTTATAGTATAGAATGTAGCCTCAAGAGTTATGTAACCATCTAATCGATTTGTAGTCTTTTTTTTGTTTCACTTAATAAAGTTTATATTTCATTTGTCTTGTCGATTTGTAGTCTTCTCTTTTGTTTTAATTAATTGAGGGATATGTGAAAATTAAAAATTGGTGTATGGATAACACTACTCAAAAAAAAAAAAAAAAAGGAAAAGAAAAAAAGAATAAAAAAGGAAAGAAAAGAAATTGAACTGATGGTTGTTTTGGGCCTATATGTTGTTGGGCCACTTGCTGGTTTTGTGGCCCACATTTGGTGATTTGTGAATGGTTTTTGTTGTTGGCCTTGCATTGGAAAATTTGACCACTACAATGGTTGTTCGAGTGCTTAAATTGGTGACCATTTGAATGACGTTGTGTAAATGGGGAAGAATTGGATCATTTGTTTGTTTGTTGTTGCAGTTAAGATATAGGAATCTTGTTCGTTTATTGACAGGTCTTATCTCTTGTCTGCTGAATCTCTTGTTTGTTTATTGACGGGTCTTATCTCTTGTCTTATCTCTTATCTCTTGACGGGGGTGTTGGAAAATTAGTTATTTATTTTATTGTTTGGTTTTGGGCCTAGCCTATTTAAATAAGGGTTTCTATAAATATAGCTTGTAATGTCGAATGAGAATCAAATTAGTCAAAATGTAACCTTACAGGGTACATAGCCATGCCATTAATGTCTTTTCTTTTGTTTTAATTAATAAAATTTATATTTCGTTTCTTCGTGATAATCAACTTATTTTTATCTCTTTATTCTTCATTTATATATACGGTGGAAAGGCGAAAATAAACATGGTAAATCACTCCCATTGTTTGGCTACTATTACTTTAATATACGTGTTAATAAGTTGTAGATTGTAGCATGTAAATTGTTGAATAGGTCGAATATTGCCATCAAAAACATCAAATTTGTTGTCCAATATGGGTATGTGAATGATGAGATAGATTGATCACGTTATGCTTGGAGTATTTGGATTTTTAAGCCTAGGAAGCATAAAACTTGGAGGTTGATTTGGACCCTTCCTGATTCATGATAAAACTGCTGCACACATACAGCTGAAAGGGTTCGAAAAGAGGAGAGACAAAATGCGTAAAAGTCGAAAACAAAATAATCTCAAGGACTTGGAGAGAATTTGAAAACCTCGACGACAGTTCAATGACTATGATATAGGCTGGCTGTCGGGAACGAATTCAACGCGCTCGCTGTCCTCTTCCAGTTGTGACTGAGACGCCGTAAGTTTCGCCTTCTTGAATGTGCTTGAACTTTTAGCCAATTCATCCCAATTCATGTCCTTCATGCCGGAAGTGCTGCTCCACAATGAAACAATAAACGAAAGGCTCAGATATCGACGAGGACGAACATTTCAGTATAAAAGTAACAGTGCTCCGTGGTTCTTAGCAAACATTAATCCCCGTTACATTCCCTTTTAGTTTCTTGAAAAGAAAAAACAAATCTTCTTATGGAAACAGAACAAGAGAATTAAGTGAAAGGTACTAAGTTGTTAGGGGAATGGTTGCTAACAAACTTACCATGATTTTATGACGCTTCTCCCACCAGCCCTTCCTGTGGAAAATGCAGAGTATCAGATAACGAAATCATGAAAACTGCGGTGGGTGTAAATATCCAAGACATGAATTCTTCTTCAACTTACCGCCTCTTGGCGTGTTCATATCTGCATTGCTTTCCCCATCTGAGTAGCCAGATGACGAATAATCTGATGGAGTTTGGGTGCTGGCTTTTGAAAGTTCTTTATCTTCATCTTCAGAACTCCCACTACTGTCGTCATCCATGAAAATTTTCCTTGGTGTAGTTGAGCTCTTCCTCTTTTCTGGGCTGTTTACAACTTCCCCATAATCAATACCATAAGGTTTCCCACCGGCCACACGATTTCGGTTGACACCTGATTGACGCTTGTTATCCATTTTATTTTGGTGAGGTTTACTGTTTGATTTGTCCAATTTAGAATTCAATATAGCTGAAGAATCATTTTTTTTCCCCGTACGAATATCGGTCCCAGAAACTTTGGCACCACTGTGCTTTCCAGCTGCTTGAGAAATGGAATTCATCTTATCAGACTTGTCAGGTGTTGGGGTTTTGGTCCCAGTTTTAGGAACTTTCTTCGAACCCTTCTTTTGAGGGTGAGGCATAAGGTCGTCACCCCTGGATGATGATCCTTGCGGTTGTATGGAGCTAGCGTTGCCAGCTTCAGACCTTCCATCAATCCCTTGGTTCTCATTAGACTTGAGCGAACTATGCAGATCAGGCGAAGGAACACTTTGCACATCAAGCTTTTTTCGCTTCTTTTTTGTCTTATCATCTGTTATGTTTGTTCTAGTCACCTCGGTGTGCACTTCTCCAGAGACAGAAACTTCATGCTGGCCCAGGCTAGGCATCTGATGCTTGTCAAAGTTGACCTTATTGCCTTCACAGGAAACTTCCGTGTTCTTATCAACCTCATTAGAGCATCCATTAGGGTTACCAGTTGCGCTAGCTTCAAGAGCCCTCCCATCGGAAATGTGTTCTAGTGCATGAGAATGAACTTTAGTAGGCTCAATACGCTTGGATTTTGACCGAGCAGCGACTGAATCGGTTTCCATGCCATAACCCTCATCAGATTCCAGAGCTTTCCCATTTGATTGTTCAATGGGAGTTCCTTTTTCCAACTTATCAGTTGTCGGTGCTGGAACCTGGTGACCAACATTTTGCGCTTCAGCTTGCAAATTTGGGATGTCTTTTGTCATGGCACTCCTTTTCCTCTTAGATTTCTTTTTGACATTCTGCTCCATACTTTCTTCATTTTCTTGAGGTTTGCCATTTTGCTCCAGGGTCCCCACCTCACTGTGACCAAGTTTATCAGTTTTCATAACGATATGAGAACCCTCTGTTTCTTTTTCTGATACATCTTTCCCATTTTTCTTAGAAATATTACTTTCCTCCTCATGAGGTTCATCCAACGAAAGTCCATTCTCAGACCCTTTAAAGTGTTCTGCACCTGATTCAACCGAAGTTTCTCCAATAGAACCCTTGGTTTTTCTGGTTTTCTTTTTCTTCTTAACGGTGTTATTAGGGGTGTTAATTCCATTCGCATCCAACAACTCAGATGTCACAATTACTTTTGTATCATTCCTATCTTTCTTACCCTGACCAGGCAACTGTTTCTTTTCAGATTTCACCAATTCAGAATCCTTTCTCTGTAATGATTCTCTCCCCTCTCCAACTCTTTGAGCAGAATCAGTTACACCTTCACTGGGAACTTTGAAGACGGGGGGAGGATGGCCGTCCCATTTTTCTTCAGCTGCAACACTTTTGCTTTCCACATTGCCAGCATCGGCAGTATTATTACCATCTATAAAAAAAATTAAAAAAAAATAAAAAAAGCAGTAATCTTAGACAAAAGGCCCGTTTTTCCATCCAAACTTCAGTTAGAAAGCAAATAAAAAAAAAATCTATATCTGATCACATATAGAGCAAACAAAACTTACCTAGTGAAGAGGATACTCCAGAATTTTCCCGCAACTCTTGGACAGGAGCACAGTGATTTCCCTTCTGAGAGATTCCATTAAGTTTATGTGGCGTTACACCACGTATACCTTGTTCATTATTAGAAGCAACATTGTCTTCTCCACCTGAATTTTTATCATTACTTCCTGAAGCAGCAGCAGCAGATGTCTCTTCTATAACATCTCTTCCGGAAAGAGCTGCAGTAACTACTTGATCAAGAGAATTTGGTGAAATCTTTCTATTTTTCTTCTTCTTTCTGGAACTATTGGTCATCAAATCCGAAGATTCGGCAGTTAAACCACCTAAGATAGAACTTGCATTTTTCTGTTTGTCCCTCAAAGAGAATTCAGATGCAATCTCTGGCTTGGAGGTCACTTTATCATTTTCTTTCAGTGAATCCTCAAGACGAGATATGTTTGCAAGCTTCCGCTTGTTCTTTACAGCAGGCTGAGATAGTGAAGCATCGTCCACTTCTGTATCGGAGACCGCAAGACTGCCATGCTTAGATGTATTCTCCCTGCTCTCAATGTGTTTTCCAAGAACTTCAGTGTGCTTGTATGCAACAGTAGTCCTTCGAATTCCAGAATCTGACCTGTTATCCATACTAGAAGCCAAACTCCTGCAAGGTTCTTCAGTAGTGTTTCTGTTTCCAGCCGCCATATCCTGTGAAACATCTTTACTGGTAGTAGTATTCTTTCCAATAGTCACATCACATATAACATCTCTACTCTGATTGCCTGATGAATTTTCAGGACGTACAATATCTGTCTGTGACTGTTCTTTACCAAATCCAAGAACTGAAACGCTGTCTTCTTTTAACTGCACTGTTTTTTCATTTCTCTGCTTAGTCTTGCGTTGTCTTTTCTTTTCAGCAGGAAAAGCTTTTTCCGAAGAGACGTTGCATTGGACATCACTTTCTTTCCTTGAACCATCTTCCTTGCATTCTTGTGTTTTGGGAACTATGTATCCCTTGCTATGTAAGCTGTGGTCCTCCTGTATTTCAGGTTCCAGACGATTGGTTGTCTCATGAAATGAAATTGTGCAATGATCATTATCAGAACTCTTGAACCTTATATCCAATTGTTTTGAAGTTTCTCCAGCAAAATCAACTGAACCATTCTGGTCGCCAGTAGTAACTTTCTCCTCTGCACGTTTTCTCCCCTCAAGTAGCAAAGGCCTTGAATCATTAAAATTGGACAATCTTTTCCCCGCAACACCTTTAGCATCGGCAGAAACAAACCAATTCATCTTGACCCTGAAAGCATTTCTAACAACCATGGAATCTGATAGGTGATAAAAGAATCCTTTGCGTTTTACCTACCAGGCATACAAGTAATCCTCAATACCAAACGCAATATTTCAGCGAAAGTAAATTAACAGTTCACTAAGAAAAAAAACAAACCTTTAGAGCTTCAACCTCGATTCTCCCATGCTATTAAAGCACAATAGATGTTCATGTTCTATTTTCCCTGCAGAGCGAAGGCATTCACACAATCATTCACAGTACATAAAAATCGAAAATTCGAGTATTCATGGTAAAAAAAAGTGGAAGATGATAACTAATGGAACAACGTAGATGTTAAGTGAATCACATCAATGACCATAAACACCAAACTCCTTCAATCATACGAAAAATAGTGCTATAAAAGTATCTTCCTATAGATTTCTAAGATCACTTTTTTCTTTTATACAAGCAATATTACGCGATGGGGGGTTTGCACTCATGACCTTATTTGCAAGATAAAGGCTCTAAACCACTCGAGCTACAAGCCACCTTGCGATTTCTAAGACTCTTAAAACCCGAAAACAAAGCATTCAATTGGGTATTTGAAGCTGAACAAAATGTAAATGCATAAACATTAACACCTAATGTTTCCAATTTGGTAATAATTATTCAAAGCAGCATTCTTTACCCAGAAAAAGAACAAAAGCGATTAAATTTTTTGAATGGGAGCTAAAAAACAGTATCAGACTAAATTCTGAAAGAGAAGGGATGGGATAATATTACTTTTGAGTGCGGAAACGGTGGCGTTGGGGTCGACGGCGACGGCGAGGTGGGTGCCGAGGCTGGTGTCGACGAACACCGTGGCCTCCACCGCATCGGAGACCAAACTCGAGTTCTGCTTCCCCATGGGTTTTGACCCAGTAACTTCCTAAGAGTTAAAATTTGAAAACGCAGGAAACCCACATACCAGTTCGTCTACAGAGGTATTTCAATGGCGGCAACAGAAGGTCTGTACTCGGTGCAAGTTCTGGGGTAAATAAGGTGCGCTCAAGGTGTATCCAAAGGGCGGGTATACGTGACGGGCCTGAAACAGTGGGCTTCAAGCCCAAAATGGAGAAAAGGATATAGGCCGAATTCTTTAGTAACACTTTCCTTCAATTGTGGGCTTAACTTACTTCCTTTTCTATTTTTTTCTCATTGTCAAAATAAAATGGAGAATAACAAAGAGAAATTAGTAAATTTTTTTTTTCTTTTGAGTTTATGCCTCGTCGTCTAAAAAAAAAAAAAAAAAATCCCGTCATGGAGGATACGAGTCTAATAAATAATACTAAAATTACGAGTAACGTATAACATGTTCATCGTTATATGGCGTTTCAATCCAGTAACAGTGATATACGAAGACGTAGATGATATTATATTATTAGACCGGAACGTCACTGTAAGAGTAAATATGTCCCATATAAGTCCCACCAACGGGAAGAGGATCCTCTCCGGATCCTCCTTTTGTTCTCTGCATTTTTTCTTCTGCTTCCTCGTCTCCTTCAGCTCTTCTTGTTCAATAATCCTTTCTTCTTCAATTCTGAGTCTTCTTCTTCACTTTTGTTTGTTTTCAAGAAATTTCATAACCACGAGTCGTCGTCGACGACTATTACGACGTTGCCGAAAACTAGCTCCGGGAAGGCCACGACGCCGACTCGAGAAGGCACTACGCCAACTCGGCCTTTAAAGAAGAAGGATCCGGAGAGGATCCTCTTCCCCACCAACGCACAAGTTAACTTTTCAACTTGGGCAAGCCTATAGTTAGTAAAACACGGGACGGGCAGTGCTTCAATTAATTTGTTCACGTCAGTCGGATTGAATTAAAAATGGATCCTCAGTGTGGCTATATCACTAGAGAGCAGTTGAAGCATTAACAAGAATAAATAGGGCCAAGTGAAACAATATCTTCTTTTTGTAAACATCTCCAGACAACAAAGACCATGGAAATTCAAAACATACAACAGAAGTAAAATCCAAGCATTGCATCATCTATTCCTGCTTCCGGGAAGAATCTTTCAGTTGTCCCCTCTTTCGAATCCGCTGGCAGAATCTCAGACGCCATGCGTCAACAACAGACTCCGGCAATGAGCATGCCAGACCCCAGAGTAGAGTGTGCGGCCAGTAAGGAGTGCAACGAGGCTCGTAGCCTATCCAGCGCAAAGCTGCCCGGGCATAACCGTCTGTTGATGGTACAAAGAAGGAAGACCTCCTGATAGATGCCATCTTTGTTGCCACGTACAGTGGAACCTGCAAACAGAAACTTCTTTAGTTTTTATAATCTAAACAACTCAAAGCAAAGTAAATACGAACAATCATCCCTAGTGGCAAGCATCCATTGCCCAAAAGATTAGTTGCCAAACTACGGCAGTATGCATAGAGGGTCAAGACATAAGGCTCTGCTCGGCGTTCATTTCCGAGCAGAGCATTATGAGGGCATGAAGCATGAAATGTTCTCGCAGACGCCATACAGTCTAGGAAACGTTTAATTGCCATTTCCTAACCCAACATACCACTAAACCACAAAGCTCATGGTTAAAATCAGAAATCTGGCAGGGTAGATTTCAAAAGAAGATAATCAGGCCGGAAGCATGGAGCACAGGACTCATTTCAGCTATATCTCGACATTTGGAGGTTAGATATATAATACACTCGAGCTACTGACATCCTCACTGCATGCCTTTCACATTGAGAAATCTTCAATTTCCATTCCAATTTGCACCGATCGGTCCAATTCTAATTTGTGTTGACATCAGTTTGAGTGCCAATCACATCTGGATGATAGTTTTTACATTTCCTTTATATACACAAACCTGAGATACTATGAGATAATCCATGGCGTTCATTGTGATGTACCCGTGGACTCTTAAACCAGATAACGATCTGAAGCTATTTAAACATCAACAGAACTACCATGGGATATGCAGCATGGGAAAGATTCTGATATTTTCAAAGAAAATTGTGAAGTCCATGCGAGGATGAAGAAAAACTTTGGCAAGAAAGAGCCACTTTGTATTTCACCGAATAAAGATGTCCACTTTGTGCAACAACACATGACACAACACCGCACTTTTCTATAGGTTGACTTTTTAATCATTTGAGAGTTGCTCAATTAAGCTTCAATTATTTACAATTTACATAATATCAAATTGTGGAGCAAATCAATATTTCTTATTTGCCAAACAAATCGTGGATCAATTGCCTCGAAAACTTTACTAGGGGAGCTAGTTAGCATCTCCCATTATATAAAAAAATTAAAAATTGATAAATAAAAACTCACAGAAACAGTACCTGGCATTGCACGTCAATCCCACTTTTCTTGTATTCCACATGGAGGCACCTAGAGAACTGATCGATGTACCTGAAAACAATCACCTGAACAATAAGCGCATGTGGATCCAAGAAGAGAAACAACAATCTGTGTAACACCGCGAAGGAGTGGGCTAGTTGTTCAAGTTGGTCAAGAGCCCGAACTCCGAGTTTCATTCTCCCTCCTCCAATATGGCATGTATTAATTAAAAAATAAGTAGAACAATAGGTGCAAAATACTCACGCTTTTGTAGCTGCATAAACAGCATACAAGGGATCCGAGGGGATCACAATAGCAGCACCCGACCCAATGTTTACAATAGCACCTTTCTTCCTCTCCACCATGCCGGGCAAAACAGCCTGAGTAACCTTCGTAGTGCCTTCGACATTAACCTTAATCAAGTTCCTCAGCAGCTCCGAATCCACCTCATGAAAGAACCGAGCATACGGGTACGAAATCCCAACGTTGTTAATCAAAAGTCCCACATCCAACCCTTCAATAGTCTCCCGAATGCGCCTGACGCCGTCGTCGAGGTCGCCGGTGAAGTCGACCACGACGGTCTTGATCTGGGTTTTGCCGTACTTGGCCAGGACAGCGTCGGACACGTCCTTGAGCTTGTCCGGATTCCGACCGACCAGGATCAGATTGAGCCCCGTCCGAGCCAGTTGGAAGGCGAAGGCCTTGCCAATGCCGTCGGTGGGTCCCGTGACGAGGGCCCAAGATCCGTACTTTTTGAGATTCTTGGCGGGTCTGAGGAAATTGACGTAGACCCATTGGAGGAGAGAGAGGGAGAGTTTGAGGAGAGAGAAAGAGCCGATAATGAAGAGCACAAGAACCCAGAAAGGCTGAGCCTTGAGGTGCTCGAGTAAGCAGAAACCCATGTTTGTTTTTTGCTTTGGATCCGTCAGAAACGACAATGGCGAAACCCTGAGATATGGGTTTTTTGAATTAATGGAGTGGGGAGAGAGGAGGGAGTAGCGTGAGGAAGAAGGACATAGCAGGGTGTGAATGGTGGAATTAAATTTAGAAGCGTCTGAAACTGATAGAGATGAAAAGTTGGACGAAGTAGACGAGCGGAAAACCACCCCAACTAACTATGTTCCATGGATTCAATAGGTCTATTTTCACATGGATTATGACACTTAATATATTCATGTTGTGTTCTCGTCACATGAAAAAAATCTACCGTTCCGAAAAAAGACAACTACATTTTATTGTGTTTTGTCCAAGTGAAGGAAATTTCCTTGAGTTTGGTTTACGTTAGGGCTTACATAGAGAGAGATCAAAATTTCCTATTTGAAGAAATGATTTTGGCAAACAATGTGTTCACAATGATTTCAATAATTTTGTGTTTACAATTTTGGCAAACAATATTTTTAATTTTTTCAATCATTATTTGAAGTTTATTTATGCACAAAATTAATAAAGCCAGTGATCATTTTGGTCACACACAATGAGGAGTAAAATATAAAACAAGATAAAAATTACTTTTAAATGTCACAACTCACGATACAAAGCAACGTCATCTACATCAACAATTTACATCCAAAAAAATATCGTTAACTCTTTCATTACATACAATACAAGCAATTGTGGGAAGGAGAAAATCGATCAAGAGCTTCAAGTGCACATGTAATTTTATCAACTTACTCAAAGTTTGGTGGTGGTTTGACTTCAAGCCAAGGCCAACCTTGTTACAGGCGATACTATCTAAGAATTGCGTCATTTGTTGCAGCTATAAGCAGTTGGGGGACGGTTTTAGAGGGTAAACTAAATAAAACTTGGGCATTATTTAATTAACATGCAATCACAATTTGGCCAACGAGTTATTTTATTTTATATTTTTCATTCAAATAAATATTAGAGGAACAAAATTAAACACAAGACTTTAAGTGCAAAAATAAACGCTCTAAATCACTTGAGTTACATGTCCGCTTGTGATTTGGAATACTTGTTGAATTTGCATCTTTTGCTTAATTATATCTCTATGGATTTCATTATCCTACTTGCAGAGCCGTCTTTGAGATTTCGGAGGCCCTGTTCGAAATTTATAAAAAGGCCCATTGTTAAGATAATCTTAAAAAGGCAGTTTCAACCAAAACACTTCCGGTATTGTTTACTTTTAACGAAAAACCACATTTATACATTTCCCTTGTACTATTCACTATACCTTTAAAAATGACTTTTCATTGAAAATGAAGTTTTTTATGAACTTTTTATTAGTTTTCCTTTTTAAAAAAGTAAAACAATATATTGATGTTAGAAAACAATCACTTAAATCAAAACAAACTTTAACGCTCAATGATTGTAAGTTTACGAATGTCATTAATTATAAGCTACAAACATAACATTTACTAGATAATAAAAAACAGTTCAATCTTAAACAACCACATGAAAATAAAAAAAACTTCAAAACTCTAATTTTAAAGTTCACTTGAATATATAACATTATTACATAATATTAAATTAGCTCATCATCATATTTCCAAATACTGACAGGGATGTGATGCACCACGACATACAACCAAAAACCATCGAAAAATTTAAGGCGAGCAGACTTATCTGTTTCAAGTTCAATCACCCTACTCCAATTTATTATGGGGACAACTTTGAAGTGCCCTAGTTTAACGCGTGATAAATGTTTTTTTCCTCGTTAATTAGATCCTACTGTAACCATTT